CTGCTTTAGGACAGTGATCACACGCCTCTCGAGCCCGCAGGTCAGCTCTTTCCAAATAAATTTATTTGATTTATATAGATTGCATCTTTATATATTTAATTGCATGTTATAATTTTTTTTATGATCTAACTACTGTTGGCATGTTTTATACCTAATTTTAGATTACAACACTTATATTTATTTTGCTCACATCATAATTCTAATATTTGTTGTTTTGGTCAAATTCAGTAGCAATTTTTATTAATTCCAATTATAAATCTATACTTAAAATATATAATTAATTCTACAATTACTTCATCCATTTTTTATTCAATGATCAAAATCCTGAGTTTTGTTTTCGCAACTTAGGACTCAGTTATTATGCTTTCCTTTTGGCAGTATATGCAATTATGCTGTTTCTAGTTGGTCAAGAACCTCAGATTTTGTTTCAATGGCACCTCTATTTGACCATAAATTTGCTTTGGGTTTTAACCTTGAAGGACCAACTACTTTTGCTCTATTTGTCAAGCATCACCTGAACACAACTTAGCTCAGTAGAAAAGTTGAACACCGCTGATCAGATTTTGTAGGTGATATCTACCATCTCTTTTCAAGAGGAAAATGTATGGCCAAGGTGGTTTTTCTTTTAAAATGTGGTCAATTTTAGTAAGTTATGCCCTTATATGAGAACTATGCTAATTTTTTTGGTCCTAGAGAAATTGTTGTAGTGTATTCGAGGTTTTTTGCTTTAGTTGGTTGTTGTTCTCCATCCAAATTGTTTTGTGTTGGGTTAAATATTATGAAGAAACCATGTAAAATCTCTCAAAATTTGATGGCTCGGGAGAGCCTTTGTTTAATTTTTCTTTGGAATTATGGGAATGCCAGTTCGTTCAGAGTAAAAAGATTAGGTTTAAGTTCTCTTGTGTAACACACACTGTAAGATTAACAAAGCAAGTTATTGAAAACCAAAAAGAATGGAACGTTGTTTTGCTCTTTTTTGATGTGCTACCCCCCTACGTCCGCTTTGGTTGCCTTGTAGTTTTCTAGGGAATAGGGATCAAAATCCAGTAATGCTATAGGCAGTATTTATACATGAGGAGTATGGAATGCATGGTTATCAAAATTTTGATATGGATTTTAAGATCTTGTATGACGGGTTATAAGTAAATCAATTTGGGTCTACTTGGGAATGTAGGATTCTGATCTGAATTGTGATCTTACTGATTTAAGTTGTTAGGTTTGCTTCTTAGGTTCATTTAGTTGTTGAGCAACCTAGTTCATGTTTTTCGTTTACAAAAGATTCTTTTTAATCATTCGTCTCTCTTTGAAAAGTTTAAAACAATGATTAAATTTAATTTTCTCTCTCGGAGAGCGATCATAGTCAAATAGTCTGATATTTTTATTCTGTTTTGCTTTTTTTGTTTGGATGTCATATACTCAATATTATTATTCAATAGCGTTTCAACTTTTCAGTCTCTCTGTCTCTGAAACTTAAGATCAAAATACTTCAATCCTCATATTTCTCTTTGCAAAATTCTACATGATTAACAACAATTCACCTTTGATTTTAAACCTTCTTTAGTATTCAAGTTGTAGTTTATCAAATTTCAAGCATATTTTAAGTTCTTTGTTTGACCATTCAAAAAAGAAATATATGTTTGTCATAGCATTTCTATTAGGTTTATCTAGTTTTATTTTTGGGAATTTTATATTGCTACATATATTTTTTATCTCATTTTTTTAATTAATAGGTTTTTATGATTCTTTATTCGATTTTTTAACTTCCTCGATTGGTCCAATATAATATTTCGATTTTAAAAATGTTGATGAAATGTAACCGTGATTAATGAGTGTGATTAGTTATTGGATACAAACAGAGAGACAAAGTGAATCCGTTTTGGAATCACAGAATCTATAAGCATACTCTTTGTTTGGATGACAACTGATTATGACAATGAATTCATGATATTCAATGTATTGATAGCCCCACTCCCACAGGCAAGGATGGTTTGCCTTAGAAAAGACTAGGCAAAGCTCTCTGCATAATCCTTTTTCCCTCCTTTTATAATGGCAACTTGAAATACAAAAAGTAACCCCAGATGCAATGTTCGATTTTGTGCACGTGGGCCCATAGTTTAAGATTTTTTTAAAAAAATATACAAAATAAAAATCAACAATTGATTCAAGTTATTTGTAAAAAGAAGTAAAAAAAAAGGTTAGATATATGCAATTCAATGCATGAGTATTTATACTTTTGTGAGTTTTGAATTGGATTAGATTTATGCAGTTTTGTATACAAATAGATTGTTTGTATCAGTGTTATCAGAACCCAGACTAGACTGGCCGGTCGGACCGGTTCAACCGTGACCTGAGATCTTAGCTGGTCCGATTTTCTAATTACACCATATAAGGAATTGAACCGTTGAAAAACCGTCAAACCAGTCAATTTTGACCAAAACCGATGAACTGGAATATTTCTAAAATCTCCCGGTTCACATCTTAATACCAGCCACCTCTTTGTCTTCATTTTCTTCGGCACCGTATCTCCATCTCCAGTACTTGAACAACAGTTGCCACCACAGATCTCCAAGATTCGAACTCCTCCACCATAGATCTCGTCTTCTCCTTGTCTATGCAAGTTGTCTTCTTTTCTCTCTCTTTCTCTCTCTCTATCTTGGCTGGGTTCATCTAAAAGTCATGGGCTGGAAGATGACTAACCTTCTCTCTTGCCTGGGTTCATCTCCTCTTATGTCTCTTGGCTGGGTTCATCTTTCTCTCTCTCTCTTTGTGTATATATATATATATATCTACATGCACACACACAGTATACTATACGTTATACACACACAATTAGCACACACATCAAATTAAAATAAAGCATGTAAATTATGCTTTAAATAATATGATGTGATTTTTATTTATATTATTATTGTAATTTTTATTTTGATTGTGGACTTTTAGTTAAATTATTATGTTTTATAATTTTTTTTATTTTTTTATTATACGACCGGTCCGGCCAGTTAATCCAACTGTTAAACTAGTGAACCATTGACCAACGGTTTGTATGACTCAAACTCTTAAGTTTTAAGTCCAAATGGAATAAAATTATCGTTACGCTAGGAACCTCTCTCAATGAACAATTTTTTTAATGAGTTAGACAAAAATCAATTTTTCTCCATAAATTGTGCAACTTCATAGGTGGACATTTTGGCTTAGGCTTTCTCTGGCTTTTCTACTCGTTTGACATTCTGTTCTCCTTTGTCTTATTTTTTTATTACATCTTTCTTTGTTCTTAATGGCTACCGCAACTCCTTCGGGTTAGATAATGAGAAATTTATTTCTCTTAAATTCTCTAATTTTAACGTGAATGATCTACTTTTAACTAGATCGGATATGAGGTTAGTCGAGGTGCGTGTAAACTAATCTAGACAGTTATTGAACCCCCAAAAAAAATGGTCACCGTAACCTACTATTAGACTGTTAAGTCATGGGTTTGAACCATCCTGCCATCTTTCTCAAAAAGATCAAATCAGCGACAAAAAACAAAAATTTGGGATGATTATAGTAAGTGATAATAAAACACGAATTAAGCATTTCCTTAACAAATTAAATTCAAAATCTGAAAAACATAACACAGACAAAACATCCCTCCACTTCTCCCAATCACCTACTATAACTGTCACAGGGTCCAAAAATCCGTCACACTCAAATCATGAACAATTCAATAACCCGACACATAATACATGAACTTCGAATCCAACTCCAAGCCCTCCATAGTCTCAGGCTCCAAGACCACCTCCAAATCAACGGTCCCACCACCTTCCCTCCCTGAAAAATGCCAAAATCTTACCGTCAAATTGATTAGCCTGTCCGCTCCGAATGGCTACGGGTCTGCCCCACCCGAAATCATTGTTGTTCATTGGAAATCTGGGCGAACTTCCCATCGTGATCATCGCCCCGTCAAAGTTTCCCAACGGGAAACACT